GGGCCGGGAGGGGAACTGGAGCAGCCTCCACGCTCCTGGCAACTGGTGGAAACTGGGGCAGCTCTTTAATGCTCATCCAGGGCTCACCGAGCTGGATCCGCTGCTGGGTGGGCTCGGGAGACAGCAAAACTCCTCCAGGACAGCCCCAGAAAATAAATATAATTTCTGGACAACCAGAAAATATATCTAATAATATGTATTTTCACGTACCACAAATCCAGCAGCCACTTCTTTCCCTGCCCGGTCAGGCATTGAGCTACTGGGTCTGGAAAATTCAGCTGGGACAGAGTTTGGTCCCTGCCTGATAATGGGAATTATTTTTTTGTAGATTTTTTTTTTTTTGCCTGGGACAAACATTTCATAAAGCAGGCAGAGCCCCCACTGGGTTTTCAATATGTTTTCCCTTTGCTTTTTCCCCCCAGTTCTCTTGAAAGCTGATTTTTATGGAAAACAGGAGGTGGCAGAGTGTGTTTTCTCTGCCCTCAGCACTGATCTGAGGTAGAAGGTGATAAAATCCCTTTAAGCTTTATAATAGTAAGATATTACAAAGCCTGAGTGGGGAAAAAAATCTGTGGTTTTTAGGGCAGAGAGTGGTGTGGCCATCCCTTGTATACCACTATATTAATTATATATCATTATTTTTCTATATTATTGCATGTTATTACTATATAGCATTATATTACTGTATTATTATTGTATCATTTGGCTGAGGTTTTATTATTATATTATAGAGCTTATATTTAAGCCTGTGCTCGTTTCTAGTTCCCAAATTCTTGTGGGAGACAAAGCCCCTCTGGAGCTTCACCTTGACTAAGGGATGGGTGGGTGATCCATGGGGCCAACAGGGAAAATCCAGGAAGGGCTTCTGGATGTCGGGCAGGGAGTTGGTGGCTCACTCTCATTTCACATAAATGACATTTTTAACCTTGTCCCTGAATTTCAAGGGGGTTGTTACCCACCATTTCCCTGGAAGGCACAGGAGGGCAGGAAGCCATGCTGGAAAATGGGGGGGAATGTGCCTAAACCCCCTCAATCCTCCTGATTCTGGGGAATAACCTCAAGTTTTTTAAGGCTTTTAGTGCACGATTTCAGCAAGTGCAGGCAGCAGGCACGTGGCAGTATGGATGGCTGGGGGTTTTCCATCCCCTTTCCCTGCAGGATTGTGATGGTTCCCCATGATTCTGCTCTGATGGAAGCATGAAAGGACACACAGCTCCATCCTGGATTATTTAATGAGCCCACTTCACCTCCCTCCTCACTCGCTGTTCAATCCTCCCCGTGCTGCCAGCAGCTCCTGGTACCCAAACCCTGCTCTGGGGCCGAGGAGATGCCTCCCCCTCAAGCTGCTGATGAGCAGGACTAGTCTGGGATCGATTTAAAAGGGAAAAAATCGGGTGAACTCGGTTTCTTCAGCCCCTGTAGCCGCTGAGGCAGCGAGGTGGGTGTGTGGAGGTGGGGAAGAGCCAGAGGGATGCAGCTCTCCAGGTTATCCGAGGGCACTCACTACAGCAGGGCCAGTTGCATCACACGGTTGAGTGTTTTTCCCCCAGCTGGTTGTTATGTTTTATTTCATTCTTTAAGTCCCCACCAGTCTGCTGCAAAACAGGGTGGGGGAAACGTGGCCATCGTGAGCTCCTGTGCTGGTGTTCCGTGTGTCAATCCAGAGGGTTTGGGAAAATGGAATAAAATAAAAACAAAATTCAAAATAAAGGGGGTTTCTGCCATAAAGTTCTCCTGGGAGTGGTGTTGGACAAAAATTGCCCCTGCCCCAGCCCTGGGAATTACTCATCCATCTGTCATGGCTCCAGATGTACATCCCTGACTCCATCAGTGATGACTGTGTGTGGTCCAGCACTGCTCCAGCCAGGTGTGGAATTGCAAGAGCCATAAGCACACCCAGTAGGAATAAAAACCTTATCTCAAATGCTGGGTGGTGATGTTGAGCTGCTGGGAATCCTGCCCATGGGAGCTGTAGCCTGAGTGCCCTTTGGGTGTCTTTAGATGCTCTGCACTGGTTTGGATGGGTGTTGGGAGTGGGAATATGCTGTTGTGTCCCATTGGGAAGTGGGGTTATGTGGCACCTTGCTCTGATCCTTCCGTTTGGGTGTTTTGGGAGGTGGGCCAGGAGGGGTGAGGCAGCACCTTGGGAGACCAGGGCTGCTCTGGCATCTCCCCTGGCATCTCCCTTGGCAGAGGAGCAGGGAAATTATGGCCCTGGAGCAATTAAATTCAAAGCAGGGCTTTTCCAGGAGTGGCAAAGGGATCATGTTCAGCTCCTGTGCTGGCTTCTCTTGGATGTGCCCCTTCCAAGTGCCCTGTGTCCCCTGGGCTTTGGTGACAGGTGGGCCGAGCCAAATGGACCCCAAATGGAGAGCAGCTCCTCCATGGCCCATCCTGGGGCATCCCAACAGTTCCCACATGGGGAGAGGAGGGTGGCTGTGGTGATGGAGCTTGGAGCTGAGCAGTGGCACGTTGGGATGAAGGCTGGTTGGGGTGTGGGAGTGCCTGGGCAGCGTCTCTGTCTCTGTGCAGTGGTTTGAGACTCGCTGGGGTTTGTTCAGGCACTCAGGCCTCCCCTCATCTCACGAGTGAGATGTGTCTCTTGGAGCAGGCTGGAGCAGCCTCCTGGGAGCTGAGTATCCAGGCAGGACCTGGGCATCTTAGAAGAGACCCTCTGGGAAATGCTGGTGGGTTTTAACAATGAAACATATCCCATTTTCTGGAGTGGTCCCCGTGGGATGTTTGTACTGGGAACAGCGTCGGGTGGGTGACAAGGGCAGGAGAAGGGTTCAGGCTGTTGGTGAACAGAGCAGGATCATCTTTGCCAGGGTCTCCCTTCCTGCCTCCTTCCTGCCCTGGGTGGGTATGGCTGGGGGTGGGATAGGACAAATCCTGCTCCTTCCCTCGCAGGGATTCTGGGATTCCCAGCTGTGAAATCCCTGGTGGCAGCTGGGGACAGGAGCCTTTTCCTGAGCACACCTGCTCAGTTGGATGCCAGCACAGGTTTTGTTGTGCCTCTGACTGTGGCTGAGCAGCCCCAGGAGACACCAGGCTGGTACCAAGGTGGTTTCCTGCTTGTCCATGGTCCTTCTCATGGGATGAGCTGTGGGGTTTGTCTTGCCCTGACAGCCCACATTTCAAAAAACATCCTTTTCCCTGCCTTTTCCTCACTGGCTCCAGTGTCTGGCCCCAAACTACCTGAGGAACATTTTATCTGCCAAAATTGTAGGAAGGTCAGGGTTTGTCTGTGCAGTGAATTGTGAGAGCAGGGACCAGAGTTGGAAGGTCTTGTTTCCCAATGGTTGAAGATTCCTGGTGGAATCAGGTTGTTGATGTCTTCTTCCACCTCCTGCTGCCTCCTAGTCCTGCACAATTTGCCCCAAAGCCCCTGGGTGTTGGTGGCCATCAGCTGGAGCTGCTTCTGTGTTCCCATGGAGCTCCCAGGCTGGTGGAACCTGTCCTTCCAAGCATCCTCCTTGAACTCATCCCAGGGAAAAGGAAAACTGCACAAAACCAGCTTCCAGCTGCTGCTCAGCTCCTGAAACCTGGCTTTGTGTGTGGGCATGGGGTGGCTTGGCCAGGAAAGCCATCCCTGGTGTTGGGAGGGGTGGTCCAGCTGTGCTCTGCTCAGAGCATCGTGGACAGCATAGGACGGTGCTGTGGTCAGAGCTGGCTGACCCCAGGCAGGACTGGGAATGCTGATCTGGGTGACTCATGGATGTGCTCATGGCTGGGCTGGATCTTCCATGGATTGGGCTGTGTCAGAGTTTGTCACTGCCAGGCTGGGGAGATGTCAGGGGGCTGTTACCCTTGGGGAGCCTTGGCAATGCTTCCTGTGCAGCCACAGCCAGTCTGGGAATGAAGCCATGGCCAGCTTGGGAATGCAGCCATGACGGGGTTGGGAATGAAACCATGTCCAGGTTGGGAGTGGAACCACAACCAGGTTGGGAGTGAGTCACGTGAGTTTGGAAATGCCACTGGACAAGGCTGGGTGTGTTGCATCCCAAAGCTCGGGTCTCCAAGGATGTTTATTTGGGTTTCCCCAAGGAAAGCAGCCCCATGTTGCTGGGAAGTGCTGGGCCTGAGCTGGATGCACTTTTGGAGAGCTCCCCTCGAGGTGTAGCAGGGCTGGCCATGGCAGGGCTGGGGGTCCTGTTCCCACCCAGCCACCCAGCCCAGAGCAGCGTGGGCAGGGCTGTCCATGCATCCCTGTACGGCCATGACTCTGCAGAGGCTCCTTTGAGGAGGTTTCCTTGGAAACCTGACAGCCAGCATGAGGAGGGAGCATTCCAGAGAGAGCTTCAGCCCCAGTGGTGACCAAAGCTGGGAGAAATGGCTTTCCCTGGGGATGAGCTGCCCTGGCTCAGCATGGGGAAGTGGGATGCTTTGGAAAGCTGTCCACAGTTGCTGTCTGATCCCTAGAGAGGCTTTTCCCTCCTCTGTGAGGTGCCTGCAGACCCTAACCCAGGGCTTTGTCTTTGCAGGAGCAGGAAGATCCAGATCCGAAACATCCCTCCCCACCTACAGTGGGAGGTAAGAAGTGGCTGATCCCAAAACCATCCCGTTCATCTCCTCCAGCAGCACAAGCTGTACTGCTTTAACTTCCTTTAACTTCCCAATAACTGCAGGAGGGAGCATGAACTGGGCTCCAGCTCCTCCCTGCTTTTGGGCAGCAGAGCTGTGGGCCAGCTTGGAGTGCTGGCTCAGCTTTGGGATGATGGGATTCGGGGGGGTGGAGGCATTGGAGCAGGTGGGTGGTGCTGGAGGGTGTTTGTGGGTGGAGTGGGCTCTTGCCCTGCCTGCTTGGGGCCTCACCTGCCCAGTTTGCTGCTCTGTCCCCAGGTGCTGGATGGCCTCTTAGCTCAGTACGGCACGGTGGAGAATGTAGAGCAAGGTAAGATGGTCCAGCACGGTCCTCATCCCTGCAAAATCCCCACTGCTGCTCCCCAGCTCTGCCCAGGCTGCAGGAGGCCCACTGGAATGAAACCTAGTTGGATAACCAGACCAGCAGCACTGGTCTGAAATGGGTTTTGGACACAAACCCTGCTGATGGAGGTGGGACCACCTGTCCAGTGTTGGGATGACGTGGGCCATCCATCTGCCATCCCCAGGAATGCTCCTGATCCCTGACAAATTGAAAAACTATTATCCCTGCAAGCAGAAATGAGCTGAGTGTAGCTTGGGATCCCCTGGTGGGTCAGGGATGTCCAGCCTTGCATTCTGCTTGGATCCAGCCTTGGATCCAACCCAGTCTTTGTGCTGGGGGAAAACACAGCAGTGTCCAGGCGTGCCGTGGGACCTCCCTCCCCCCGTGCCAGCTGTGTCACCTCTCCCATCCCTGCTCCAAGCCTGCTTCTCTTGCTCCCTGCAGTGAACACAGACACAGAAACTGCCGTGGTCAACGTGACCTACGCGACGAAGGAGGAGGCAAAAGTGTGAGTGGCGTTTGCTTTGGTTTGCCCGTAATTGCACAGCACCCCAGCTTTCCCAGGGAATCCCAGGTATCCTCCAGGCTTCTCTAAGCTGTCCCATCACTGGGCTGTATTCTGCCTTCTCCCCTGGCATGGGAGAGGGGGTAAGTACAAATTAGGGGTTATTTCAGAAGTGGAAGAATGGTTAAAAAAAAACATCTTACTGAGACTTCAGCCCTATGCTGGAGACCAGCCAGTAAGTAGTGAGCTTATTATTATTAGTGGCCAGGGTTATTTTTTATATGATCAAGAGCAGATCCCAGGCCATAAAGAGCCTTTGTGAATCCATTTGTTGATGGATGTTCCACCAGCTTCCCATCTGAGCTGACCCATCGTGGTGCTGGGTAAGTGAGGACAGAGATGGGGACAGTGATCTGCTGGTCCAGGAGGGCAGAGGAGAATCCTTCTTGTGCCTCCAGCCTCGGCGGGATGTGCTGTGGACCACAGATAAACATGGCATGAGTGTCTTAGAATCATGGAGTGCCCTGAGCTGGAAGGGACCCACAATGACCATTGAGTTCATATCCTGGTCCTGCACGGGACAGCCCCAAAAATCCCACCACGGTCTTGGGAAGTGTGGCAATAAAGGAAGACAAAGAGTTTCCCCAACACAACAGTGCTTAATGCTTTGGGATAAGAGGCTTTTTTGGACTTAGGAAAGGGATGGTGAAGCTGCAGAAGTCCTCAGAGGATGTGGAATTCAGGCCTGGCAAGGAGCTGCTTGTGATCTGTCAGTAGCCAAAGTGGGATGTGGTAGGAGCAGGGAAAGCTGAAGCCAAGCAGGGTCATGGCAGACACTGGCATGGCCAAACATCCCTGCTGAGGAAGGGTTTGGGGCATGAAGAGTCCAGGTGCTGCCTTCCCACCTCATCCAGCCTGGAAGGGAATTGGGGTTCCCAGCAGAGGGGGCACCCTGGGGCAGCGAGGGTGGCTTGGAGCTGCTCTGTCACCTTCTCCATGTCCAAAAAACCTGACACCATTCCCATGCTGTGTGGGAGCTTCTGGCAAGGACTTGGCCAGGTGGAGGGGCAGGCCCCTGGGCTTCCATCCCATCCCTGCTGGGGGAAAGGTTTGGCATGACCCACGTGGAAGGGGACGATGTCCCACAGGTTATGGGGCTTGCTCCTCGTGGGAACAACGTGAGGCTCTGGCTTCTCATGGCCACCTTCTCCAGACAGGGGAGGGAGGAAGATGCAATTTGGGAACGATGTTCTACGTGTTGTGGGGATGCTGGAGGGGGGAGCCCATCCCTAGGCAGCCCCTCACCACCCCCTGCATCTCCCTGCCTTGCAGAGCAATAGAGAAGCTGAGCGACCACCAGTTTGAGAACTATTCCTTCAAGATTTCCTACATCCCGGATGAAGAGGTGAGCTCCCCTCCGCCCCCCCAGCGATCCCGCCGCGGGGGCCACTCCTCCAGGGAGCGGGGCTCCTCCCCAGGGGGCTCCTCACAGCCCAAACAGCTCGATTTCCCACTGAGGATGCTGGTGCCCACGCAGTTTGTTGGTGCGATCATAGGAAAGGAGGGCTTGACCATAAAGAACCTTACTAAGCAAACCCAGTCCAAGTAAGTACTTCCAATGGTTTTGTTTCCTTCCCCAGGGTGCTGTAGGTCCCAGCTCGGGTTTTTCCCTGTGCTGGGGACTCTGGAGTGCCGGCCACTGCTGATTCCTTGGGGTGCAGCCTTCAGGGGGTGGTGGCAGAGCTCAGGTCCTCAACCATTCCTGCTGGCCAGGGTGGTCTGGGTGTGGCAGGAGGGGGATGCACACTGTAAGAAGCCTGGAATGAGTTCCTAAAGCCTCGTGAGAACAGCTGGGGGTGAGGCTTTAGGGAGAAATGGCAAGTTTGGGGGTCAAATCCTGAAGGTGCATCCTCAGTGCAGTGGTCTGTTCTTGGGATTTGCTCATCCTGCAGGATCCCATATGGGCTAGAGCTGTTGAGGGGAAAGGGGCTCTGTGGGAGCACTGCCACAAGAAGGATGGGCTTTTGTAACTGTTGGAAGCCTTTTTTAGCTATTAATGTGTTTGTTTTTGAAGTAAAAAAGGAAAAAACCCAAAAAGTGGGGTTGTCTTGCCAAAGTTTGCCGTGTTTCTCTTGTTGCTGTTCTCCTGATCTCATCACTCATTCTCTGCATGGTTTTCCTGCATGGTTTGTTCCTGCCCAGGTGTGTTTGTGTTTAACCCAAAGCTGTCTTCTCCTGTGCTCATCATCCTGAACCTGGTGATCCCATGGGATGTAGGACTCCTGTCCCAGAGCATACCAGTTCTCAGAGGAGGTTTTAGAGGCAAATCTTTGGTAGTAGTGTGGCTGGAGGTAGAAAGCTGAGCCAAACCCTGGTGCTGGGTTGGCAGGAAGAGGTTTGTATGGAAAGGGGGCAGAGGAGTAGGGAGAGGAGCTCTTGGAGCCTGGCTCACCCCGGGGTGTGGCCACGTGGTAGCCGTGAGCAGATCCTGGTTGGCTGCAAGCCCTTCTCCAGGTGAGTCCTGGTGGGATGAGCTGCAGGTGTAGCTGTGTCCTCACCACCCAAGAATGGAATTTGCCCTTTCCAAGCCCTGAGCCTAGCAAGGAAGGTGGGAAGGTGCTGGCTTCTCCCAGCCATGAAGCCAAATGCTGTTGCTTGGAGTAGTTTGTGCCACTGAAGTGTCCCTCCTTGTGGAGTGGCTCCCTGTGCTGCCCTGAAGACCATGGAGGAGCCATGGAGGAAGGCCCTGCTCAGTGCTCTGCCCTCTCTGCCCTGCCCACAGTGAGGCACTACCTCTGCTCAGGCTTGGGCAAAGGGGACCTCAAGAATCCATCCCAGGCAGTCACAGGAGCCCCTGTCCTTCACTCTGGGTGTCATCCCACACTCTGTCCCTGCCCAGGCCACCCTCATCCATCAGTGTGATGATCTGGGGGGGTCTGACCCCTGCTCCTCCCCAGAGCGACGTTGGGTTCTGGATTCATCTGGTCACGTTGGATTTCACCCCTGGTTCCACACACAAAGATCCCAAAGATGCTTCTGAGCCCCAGGAGGCAAAACTGTGCCCAAGCTGAGCCATCTTTTTCCACGAAGAAACCCAAACCAAGAGCCCACCCCACCAGGTGACCTTCCACAGCCCTTGGAACTCCATGAGGAGAGGATCATGGCTACCCAGCAGCCATGGGACCAGGATAACCCTGCAGGCACACTGTATTGTCCACCTGGAGATGGCTGTCCCTCATGGCCACCACTCCCTGAAGCATTCCCAGCCCCCTGTAAGGTCTCTTGGAAGCTTTTCCTGCTGCACCATAGGCAAACCCTGTCCCCCCAGCCCTGGTCATCCCTCCCTGCAGCACCTGGTGATGGGGTGAAGGTACTGAAGGAGCCCTTCTCCATCCTCCTGTTGGAATGGAACAGTTCAGCAGTGGCACTGGGATGTGCTGGGAGCTCCAGAGCTCTCCTTTCTGCAGCTCTCTGGGGTGGGATGTGCCTGAAAGCTGCGGCCCCTTGCTGGCGTCCCTTCTTCTCCCACACATCCAGACGTGGGATGGGTCGGTCAGCCAAGAACCTGGCTTGTGTCCCTTCCCAAGGCTTGTCCAAGGTCCTCATCACCTCGGTGCCTCCACTCAGCACTTCTGTGGCTCCTGGTCCCTCTCTGGGGCGAAGGCTCAGCTGCGTTCTCATCTCCACTCTCCTCAGCTGCTCGTGGGTCCAAGGAGCTGCGTGGCTCCCATCTATGGGGTTTGTTGGGATTCCTCATCCATTCCCCCTGCCTTGGGAGCATCAGCCTGGTCTGTCATCGCCTCCTGTGGCCATCATGACGTGCCCACCCTGTCTCTGGTGAAGGTGTGGCAGCAAGTGTCCCTGTACCTGCTGGGAACGGATCCTCCAGGCCAACCTGAGGGAGCTCCGTGGCTGGGGGCACCAGCTGAAGCCACGGGAGATCTGGAGAGATGGAGCCTACACTGTCTTCACTCCCTACTCAGTGCTTGGATGGAACCACTCTGAGTCCCTTTGGAGTGGCTGGGGTTGGCCCTGCTCTTCTCTCAGGGAAGGCTCATCCAGCTGCTCCCCTTCCACCATCCGTGTTGCAGCCTGCAGCCTCGTGAGCTCCTGGAAGAGTTGACCTGTGCAGCATCCCAGTGTGGGACTGTGCCCCACATCCCTTGGCCTGGCGTGTGCAGCAGCACCCTGGACGATCCCGTCGGGACAGGACCTCGGAGACGTGGCCGGAGGGGACCCAGCGTGCGGGAGCTGAGCGCTGGCAGCATTCTGGAACAACCGAGCTACCACTGCCACACCTGCTCGGAAGATCCGGCCCTGGCTGGAGCAGTGACAGTGACAGGGACACCGAGGTGGTGGCCGATGGCAGGACGGCCGCACGGCATCACCCTGCGGCGGGAAGAGCGCATGGAGTCGCGCGGAGAAGACGGAAAGGTTCTTCCCCCTGTTGTCCACGGCGCGTGGTTGAGGTGCGGGAGTCTCCTACCCTGCTTTCCTCTCTCCCTCTCTCTCAGGGCTTTGCCAGGTACGGTTGAGCGTGAGGAGCGAGCTGGAGGCCGTGCCTCCTCCCGCCATGAGCTGAGGGAGGACCAGAGGAGTAGAGCACGGTCCCTGCCGCTGCGCACGGGAGCCTTCTGGTCTCCCCTGGAAGGGCGTGAGTACCAGCGCTGTTGTTGCCGGGTGCCTCCGTGTCGTGACAGACGCTGCCCACGGGTAAGTGCCCTCTGTCCCGAAGGACGTGGCCGCTGGACAGCCTCGGGTGTTGTGCACAGAGAGGCGGAGGTGGCAGGGCCTCCAGTCCGGTCTCCTGCTCTGGGACTGGCGTCAGAGATGATAGACCAGGTTGCTCAGGGCTTCGTCCAGTTGTGCATTTGTTCTGCCCCCTCGATGGTTGATGTTGTGACACCCCTCAGCTTCCAGGACCTCGGGTCCTACAGGCGAGCGTGGCCCAAATCCGATCCAAACCACCCGAAACCAAACACAGCCTGGGCTTGCGTGAGCCAGGTAGATGCGCCCAAGACCCAGGTTCACCCCAGAGCTTGAGCAAGTGTTGAAAGGAGTTTTTCTCAGCTCCTGAGCTCTCAAAGCCCTCTGTGTGGCACCAGGCCCATCTCAGGGGCTCCTCTGTGCCGGTTGTTTCGCCGCAGGGTTGACATCCATCGGAAGGAGAACGCCGGCGCTGCCGAGAAGCCCATCACCATCCACGCCACCCCCGAGGGCTGCTCCGAGGCGTGCCGCATGATCCTGGACATCATGCAGAAGGAGGCTGAGACCAAATCGTGAGTGCTCCCAGCTCAGCCAAAAGCCCGATGGGAAATGGTGGTGGTGGTCCTTCTCCTTTCCAACACATCCCTGGTACCTGTGGCTGGAAATTTCTATGTTTCCTGACTGGCTGCTCCTTTAGATTTTATTTTTTTAACCCATTTCAGAGCAGAAGAGATTCCCTTGAAAATCCTGGCACACAACAGCCTGGTGGGGAGGTTGATTGGCAAGGAGGGCCGCAACCTCAAGAAGATTGAGCAGGACACGGGCACAAAGATCACCATCTCCCCGTAAGTTTCTGTGACAGGACCAAGGGGAATGGCATCCCAGCCTGGCAGGGTTAGATGAGATTTTGGGAAGGAATTGTTCCCTGAGAGGGTGGTAGATTGCCCCCAGAAGGTGTGGCTGCCCCATCCCTGGAAGTGTTGCAGGCCAGGTTGGACAGGGCTTGGAGCAGTCAGGTCTAACTGGAGGTGTCCTTCCCCTTGACAGAGAGTGGAACTAGATGTACTTTCACATCCCTTCCAACCCAAACCATTCCATGATTCCATGATTTAGTGATTCAGTGAAGTCCTGGTGAACACCAGGCCACCCCATTCCATCCAGCATGGTACAAGCAGTGCTGGAGCTGAAAACCAGAGCAGCTGTGTCCTCCCATGTGCATTCCCTATCCCAGGAATATTCCTCATCCCAGGCGCTGGGCAGGGAGAGGCCATGTGGCTCTCACTCTGTCTCAGGGGAACCCTGAGCTGTGATTTGAGTTCTCCAGGTTTTTTCCTTGACTTGAAGGAGGACCATAACCGTGCCTGTGTGTTTTCCCGCGGGGCAGTTTGCAGGATCTGACCATCTACAACCCCGAGCGCACCATCACGGTGAAGGGCAGCACGGAGGCGTGCTCCAACGCCCAGGTGGAGATCATGAAGAAGCTGCGCGAGGCCTACGAGAGCGACGTGGTGGCCGTCAATGTAAGCTCAGCCCTGCCACCCTGCTCTGGGCGGCCAGACACCCATTCAGAGTGTTACAGCAGGGCTTGGGCCTCTCCCATCACA